AGATGCATCACAATCATCACATTTTAATTTATAAATACCACTTTTATCAAGTGTATTCATCCTATCTTTGGTATTGATTAAGAAGGAACCTAAAGTGTTATGTGATTTAAAGGAAATTTTGATGTTATCAATTGTAGAAGAAAAAGTTTAGATATTTTATTGGAAATGCTACTAATATAAGTGAAGGAAAAATATCTGATGTTATCTGAACCATTCGGTTGGGAAAACTGTGAAGAATATGCAAGCTTTTCTGCAATTTTTAGTTTAGCTCTATTTAGAAGTTTGTATATAATGTTGGGATCATAGCCATTATTGAAAGCAATCTGCTTAAGAGTATTAAGTTCTGTATTGAAATTATCATCAGAGAGAGGAAATTTAAGTAACCGATGAATGTATCTGTTGAAAGCAGCCATTTTATGTTGAGTTGGGTGATTAGACGTTCCATGTATAACGTGATCTGTTTGGGTGGGTTTTCTATAAATGTTGTACTCTAAAGAATCTTTCTTACGGGAAATAGTCATATCCAAGAAGTTCAACTTATTGTCAGATTCTGGTTCCAGAGTAAAAGAGATGTTAGGATGGAGGTTATTAAGATCATCCAGAATCTGTAAAGCATCATCTTGGGTTCCCTGTATGAGAGCTATACAATCATCAACATATCTAGACCAAAAAACTATTTTGTTGTTGTTATTAACAAACTTCTGTTCTAAGCTATCTAAGAAAATATCAGCTAGAAAAGGTGATAATGGAGATCCCATTGCTAAACCTGTTGGTTGTTTATATATTTTTTGATTGAATTGAAAGAAGTCCTGATCCAGACAGAATTTAAGCATAGTTAATATAGCATCTTTATCCTTTGCAGATATGTTGCAATTGTCTAGAAGGTTGTGTACTAAAGGTAATGTTTCATCTCTTGGTACAGAAGTAAACAAATTGGAAACATCAAAAGAAACTAAATAAAAACCCTCTTCTATCCTAATGTTGTTTAAACGTTCTATTAGATCTAAAGAATTTTTAATAGAGAACTTAGGTTTAAAATTAGTGATAGACTGTATTGTGTTGTAAATAAATACAGATAATTCAATACAGAACTTAATACTCTTAAGCAGATTGCTTTCAATAATGGCTATGATGAAGGATACACATATATGAAATACGGTAAGCAATACTACTTGTTTTCAGTCGATTCAGCTCAATCAATCGGTTACCTGTTATTGATTGAACGACCTATTGAAATGATTCGTTCGTTTTTAGAGTCACTGATTGATTCGGTCCTTGTAAAATGAACCATTAATACAACACTAGCTTCGTCAGTACTTACTTTCGAATATTTTTTTCTGTCTGATTCGCGATATAAGGTATAAAATGTTCATGTTTTTTTTTTAAACTACAATAATCTTTATTATTATAGTTTAGAATATACCAGGAATCTGATATCGTAAAACATATTAAGATAGGACGTCTGAGGTGGATACGACATGTAATGCGGATGGATCAAAATGACCCAGCTAGAAAAACTCTCCTTGATAGGCCCATTGGCCAGAGAAGAAGAGGAAGACCCAGAACAAGGTTCCTTGATCGATGAGGACATGAGACATATGGGAATACGTGCTTTGCGGAAAAAGGCGATAGATAGGAACGACTGGAGAGAAATTATTGAGGAGGCTAGGACTCACGCAGGGTTATAAAGCCTGAATGATGATGATGATGATAATTTTTAATTGTTTACTTACAAATAACTGATACAGAATGAAGTGCCATTACCATTATATTGGCTATATCCCTAACTTATGACGCACAGTATATTATAAAAAAAAACTAATCAACTCGTTCATGCTGCAGACATTTAAGAGCATATTCAGAAAAATGTAGGAAATATAGAAAAACTACCACCGCGACTGTACTGTCTTCCCAAAATGCACAAGGAAAATATTGACAGATTGTCAGGAAAAATCTACAGACTGTATTAAGAAAACAAAAGATATCACATAAAGACGAAATTATATACTAATGAGTTTCGAAGAAGATCCAATGTTTACCATTTTGCTTCTTCTTCTTCTGCTAGTGCCTATCCTCTATGGATGTTTGCTACCACAATGGCCCATCGTATTTTATTAGCAACTGTTCGAAATAGGTCTATGATGGTCATACCTGTTCACTGTCTCAAATTCTTAAGCCAGGATATTCGACGGCGTCCTGATCCTCTATTTCCTTCTATTTTTCCTTCTAATATCAATAGTAGGATTCTGTATTTATTTTCATTTCTCACTATATATCCGAAGTATGCTAACTTTTTCTCTTTAATGGATTTTAAGACTTCAGGTTCTTTTTGTAAACGTTGCATTACTGCGTCGTTAGTTATATAATGTACATATGATATTCTGAATATGCGACGATAGCACCACATCTCGAAAGACTGCAACCGTCTGCAAGACGCATCAGTGAGTGTCTATGCCTCTATTCCATACATAAGAACAGAAAACACATAACAATTAAGGATTTTGAGTCGGAGATGTAAGTTCAAGGTTAAATTGCAGAGAACTTTCTTCCATCTGTTGGAAGACTCTCTATGCTTTTTCGATCCTACATTTAATCTCGTATGAGTGATCCCACCTGTCTGCAATGTTACATCCTAGGTATGTTATTTTTTCTGTTCTATCCAATACCTCATTGTCTGCCATAAACTTTGCATCTGTATCTTGGTTTTTGCTTCGTCTTCTTATTATTAAGTTTCATTCCATATTTTCTACCGATGTTAACTACTTGATCTATTAGTCTTTGTAATCCTTCAGCACTATCCGCAACAAGGGCAGTGTCGTCTGCATATCTTAGATTATGTATTACTTCACCGTTAACAATCATGCCATCAGTCGTTTCTACCAAAGCTTCTCGAAATAGATGTTCAGAGTAGGCATTAAACAGCAAAGGCGAAAGTATACAACCTTGTCGTACTCCTCTTTGTATTGGGACTTCATCGGATAATTGATTACCTACTTGAATTATTATTATAAAGATTTAGCCATACGGCTCACACTCCCTCTAAGGGGAATATTCACTCATCCCAGATACCTACGGTATCAAAAGAATTGAGCTCTGGTGGGACTCTTTCCATGTTATCGAGTCCTAGGTGACTTGGTACGTCGGTGTATCTCGTAAAAATTTTCGCACGCATCTGGACGTCGAAAGCAGCACAGCTTTCTGCATGACCTTATATAGATGTTCATTTAGACCCAGCTTTTTTATGTTTTCTAGGAGGTTCTTCGGAATGACTCCAGTGGTAGAAAGAATAATAGGTGTCTTCCTATTTGTATTTCCAGATCTTTGTACTTGGCGATCTTTTCGTTGTACTTAACACGCAGATTATTGTTGTTAGGTATCGCCACATCGATTAGAGTTGTTTGTCTTGTTAGTTTATTAACTAGCACGAGATCTGGTCTATTATGTGCTACAGTTTGGTCTGTGAGCACAGTGCGATCCCAATATAGCTTGTAGTTGTTATTCTCAAGCATACTCTCTGGAACATATTGATAATATGGGAGATGGTTTGTTTGTAGAAGTCCCAGTTTAATAGCTATCTCTTGATGGAGGGTCTTCCCTACTGAGTCATGCCGTTCCTTATATTCAGTTGCAGCAAATGCCTGGCAGCCTCCGGTAAGATGTTGGATCGTTTCTTGGGCTTGACATCCATATCGGCATTTGTCGTTTTGGACCTGAGGGTCTTTGACAATATACTTCAGGTAATTTTTGGTTGGTATAACCTGATCCTGAATGGCGAGTAATGAATCTTCTGTTTCAGGGAACATCTTTCCTGATGTCAGCCAATAGTTCGACGCTATATTGTCGACATAGTCTTGACTGACTTCATTCGGATGTCGCCCGTGCAGAGGTTTACCCATCCAGATGCGCATTTTTTCGTTCTTAGTAAGATGGTTTATGCGCATTTCTTGTTCCCTCAGGTTGATCGGTGTTGTGTCATCTACTGCGCAAATCGCGCGATGAAGAGTAGATGTCTTTGCCTGTACCTGAAACTAAGTTCTTAAATTATTAATCTGTTTATCTAATTGCTCGCTTATATCAATAAGTCTTATAAATATTATTAGTATTATTATTCTTATATCCTTGTCATCGATGTTTGCGATATGCAAAGTTTCAATAAGTCTCTCATGCTGTACTTTGTCAAATGCCTTTTCGAAGTCAATGAAACAGGCAAAGACATCTGTATTAACATCTCTTGCTCGTTGTATCAATACTTGTATGCTAAAAAGTGCTTCTCTTGTGCCAAGACCGCTGCGAAATCGAAATTTTACTTCAGCAATACCCTCCTCCAATTTCTTGTATATGCGGGCATGGATGATGTTTAAGACCATTGTGCACATTGTGATCCATTTAGCACCTTTGGGCTAATTAGACCAAACCTTTTTATTTATTGTCTTATTACATCTTTCCGATTAAATGATGAGATGACAATGAGAATTCCTTTGAGTCCAGTAATTAAAAACTTTTTTATGAAAAAAAAAATCGAATAACAAGTCTTGCTTATATGCTAGTGAACTTAAAAATTTTCCACTCCAGGAATTTACAGCGATTCCTGTAATTGTGTTTCAATTTACATTGTAACACAATAAAATTAAGTTAATACTCGTTTAACCCTTAGAGGTAAGTAATGAAGTAGCTGTAAAGTGTAAATAAAAACTCTGAATAAAAATTATATCAGAATTATATCAATTAAAAATTTGCCCAATCTATAATTTAGTGAAAACTGATTTAACTACACAATTCCATGGAGCCATAAAGTTATATTTAAATAATGTTAAAGAAGTTGACTAAAGCAGTGTTGTTAAAGAAGTTGACTAAAGGCAGTGTTATTTGTTATTGTTACTGACATCACGGAAACGACTGTCACTAATATATTACAGACTAACTATCTTCATTAACGTGAGGAATAGTGAGTTTTTTTATCCACATTTGAACAATTTTCAAAATTTTGTGTTTTTTTTTAGCAAAATGTTAACCAACAGACAAAGCTTGCAAATAATCAACCGCCATCATTTAAAAATTGCATACAACTAGCAGCTTGTAGTTCGGACCAAGTATTGCCTATGAATCCAGATTTGCCTGCTGACCTGTTCACTGCCTGTCTAACCACGCCCATTAAAGTTGCCTTAAGGTGGTATGTTCTACAGCCCACTTCGAAGTTAATGCCAAAAGTTGACTTGGAATTAATCGACAAGTAAGATATTTGTACCATATATTGTGAAATTAAAGTATTGTGTTTCAATGAATTAAAAAAAACGTTGGTTTATGATCATCCTAAACTTTTTTATATAAGAATTAAACCAGTAGTCTGTTCTGTAAGTCGAGTAGAGATCTCACATCACCGAAGTAGACAGGTTTTTCATAGTAGACCGCAGGGTCTTTTGGTTTCATTTAAACCTAACATTTATGTGGTGAACGATCTGCTTAGCAAAGAATGTTTGATTTATATTTACATTTTTAAATGCAGTAAACGATATCATTATTTCACAATACCTTAGTTATTACTCGCTTTGTTACAAAAACTCATAAACCTTGGAAATAATATTTCATTCCAGAAAAAGAATGAATCATAAAAGACTCATAAGACATAATCATCAATTCTATACTGAATTGGCGGGACAGGGTCGGATCTGCACGTAGTTTAAATTATAGTTCACATGAACTGCAAAATTTTATGTTCGAATTTTGCATTAGATTGGATGGGGACAGATTAAGAACAATAAAACTAGTACGTAATTAAATACGATTATATGTAAATTTAAAATTGTAAATAATTTGTGACAAAAGAGTGAAGATAATGCCAAGAGATTTGTACAAAAATATTTAAATTTGCTATTTTTATTTTGATACTTTTCTACCGCTAATGACCTTGAATGGTTGATGCGGATGAGTAAATAAAATAATAATAAAAAATACCATGCCTTTTTCAGAATTCCTGGACAAATTACCGATCGAAGAACTATGTTAGGAGAACTAAATTGGATTTTTACTGCAATAACCGACACCATTGCTTGGAATACTTTACCGAGAGGTAAGATTAAAAATTTAACTGAGAAACTCAAAAATCCTCAAAATTTTATATAATTCTAATTATGTTTTCTTTATTTTTAGACTTATTTCAAAAACTCTTTCGTCAAGATCTACTTGTAGCTAGTCTCTTTAGGAATTTCCTGCTAGCCGAAAGAATCATGCGATCCTGTGATTGTACTCCTGTTAGCAGTCCCCCATTGCCACCTACGTTTCAACATCCTATGTGGAATGCGTGGGATCTAGCCCTGGATCTAAGTTTGGGACAATTACCAGGTATAATTAATAAAGAAGAACCATTTGAACACTTACCATTTTTTGAAGAACAATTAACAGCATTTCAAGTATGGCTCGAGTTAGGTAAGTTGAGTTATTTAATGACTTTATTTTAGGAGTAAATCGTTTTTAAGAAGCGTAAACAATAACGAAATAAATCGCGAAAGTAGAAATCCGAAGATTGATGAAAACAAAATTCAGATTTTGGCTTTAATCTGCGCCTTCTAAAAATTACAAGGCAAAACAGACGATGCTAAAAAGATGTAAAAAGAGATATGGAGAATCTAAAAGTTGCATTCCACAACATATCTCCTCATCTAAGCAAAAATTCTTGGCGAATTGGTTTCTAGCATTCATAAAGAGTATATCGAGATAAAAGGTATATCTACCGAACTAGGGTCTTAAAATTGACGCAAATTCTTCCAATCAAAAATACTTAAAATAACTTGACTTACAATAAAAAGGATTTTCTTTAATAAATAATACTAAATCGAAATTCTGACCCTGTGTTGAACACACAAAAGCCAAGACCGGAATGAGATGTGCACAATTCGTCTTATGACAGATTTACCGGTATTAATTTTGTTTAATATAGTTTTCTTGGGTTTAGTCTTTTTAGAAGTAAAAAATGTTCCGGTATTCTTCTGCTCTCTAATTCTGTACACAGAAGCGTCACCTGCTCCACAAGAAAAAGCTGTCTGTTTCACTACTTCTAGATGCGATTATATTGTCGATGTATAAACATTATAAACACTTTTTTACGTACTACTAAAAGAACGTATTTTTGATCTCTTTTTGAGGTAACTTTCTCCGCAGAATCTGTAGAATTGGACAACAAAACTAAAAAACTACTATTACAAATTAGAACGCACAACCTTGAAAAGTCTTAATAAAACTAAAAAACTATTACATATAAAACAAATAATTATATACACAAATAGTTCATTTATTGGAACGAAATACCTTCTTAATGCTGAAAGAAACGTTAATGCAGTCCCGAGACAATAGACAACGTCTCTTTATTTACATGCACTATCGCTTCTCGATAACAATATTTTAGTATGAGGCGTATGCAATGTTTTTCCTAGAGCCATCTAGCGGAAATTACTCGACTTTTTAAATATTATTTTTGTAATTTTTGACGTTTCTTATAGTAAAAAACATTTTACAGATTAAAAAAATCCAAATTCACAATTTTCTTATGTAAAACTGTTCAAAGTTATCAGTTTTATGATACAACTAAGTATTTTGTAGATTATTTTAATTTATTTAATAATCTTAGCAACGATGACACAATAAATGAAAATTTAAGTCAAATTATGATCATTATAACCGTGATTAACATAATATTGGTTAAGAATAATTTTATACACTTACCGAAATACAAAAATATCAATTTTTTTCATCGTTTAGGTTCTGAAGAAAGAAATCCACCCGAACAATTGCCAATAGTATTACAAGTTCTATTAAGCCAAGTCCATCGTATGAGAGCTCTTGAATTGTTAGGAAAGTTTCTAGATTTGGGGCCCTGGGCTGTCAATTTAGCGCTGTCAGTTGGAATATTTCCATACGTTTTGAAATTACTGCAAAGTTGTGCTAAAGAATTAAGAACTCTATTGGTCTTTATATGGGCTAAAATACTAGCTGTTGATAATGTAAGTATTTTGTTTTTTCTGTGTGATTGTATTATGTATTATATTGTGTATTATAATTAGAGTATAATTATTGGTGTTCTTATATTAGAAAATAAATGTACAGAGTGATTTATGTAAATCTAGTACGGTCGGCACCGTTTAACTTCTTGAACGTATTATATTTTTAAAAACTCGTCCTACTTCAACAAATTGCAACATTTACGTGGGTAAATAAGTGTTTTTCAATCCCGTAAGTCTTAGTAACTTGTTCTTTGTACAAAAAGTAACAAATTATTGTTTATCATAAATCATAAAATAGCTGTTTAGACGTCACTTCTGTCTAAACTGAAATATAACTAAATTAGAAATAACAAGTATAGTACGTTCCATGATACTAAGACCACAGAATAATAAACAAACAGAATGCCCACTCTCCACGGAAAATTAAGTACGCGCATGTCCTTCGCGCAGACGTTCCGCCATGTTTTACGAGGATTTTAAAGGGAACCGGTGTTGTTTATGTGGTGTGCATGGAAAAAAAACCAGATTTATTTGACTTACGGCAATCATAGACATACTATACAATTATATTAACAGTTTTAAATATAATAACATAAATATAATATAATTAAACATAAATGTAAACAATTGCATAACCTCACAAATCATATGTTTGTGTCCTCCTAAAACATGGCGCGCGTGCTGAAAAACTTCAAAGGCGGCATCTGAGAGTGGCCCTTCTGATTGTTTATTATTCTGTGCTAAGACTAAGAAGATAAGATATTGCGCATAAGTCGTGACGTCATTGGAGAGTTTGATGTTTGAAATGTCAGTTTTTTGTATGTATCAATAAATAATCTTTAATAAATAGTTTGGAGATATTCTTATGTGTACGATTATTGTAATTACTAAACCTCTTAACTTATTTTCGTCTAGTAATTTGATCACATAATGCATAAAATACCATTTAACTTTAACAAGAATTCAAATTCTACTCTCCAATGACGGCATGTGCGAACACGACCTATTTTGTGCTACGGGAAGATCCTATCTTGTTATTATAGTATCATGGTACGTTCGTTCAGCTTAAGAATATTTTGACTCATTTGATTCATTGTCGGAAACATACAACACAAAAATTCCCACATCTCACTATTAATAGCCCGAATAAACTTACTGTTGCAGACTTCTTTTATTGAAAAAAGAAGAATAAATATGTATAATGGGAGTGTATAATCATTAGTTTTGATTAAAAATATATTTGTAAATACCTATCTATAAACAGTTAAAAAATTAAAAAATAAACATTTAAATCTTTTTTTAAATTCAAGCAATTTTATTTTATTAATAAACTGCACGTGCATAATGTTTACCTTTAAGTTACAATTAATATTGGTTATGAGCACTTGCACTTTGGTGTATAGTCTTCTAATTACTTCAAGTCGACGTCAAACTTTAATCAACATAGCAATAAATAATTACTAAATTTACTAGACAGTTGAGACTGGAATCAACGAATCTGGTATAGGTTACCATATATTTTTGATTTGAATTACTTTAAAAAGTTCTATAACTTTGAAATATATATGACCACAGAGAACTACATTCAATAATTGGTGTCCCTACTATATTTAGTATAATAAACTTAAAAAATAATTCGCAAAATGTATTTGCTTCTTAGGATATGCTAAAATATGGTTATAATTTTTTATCAATAAATACAACATACAATGAAATTAAAATGAAAAAACATTGTATAAAACAAGCACAAAAACTTACATGAGGTTAATCCATTAAATTTTGAACATTACCGGAACATTAAACTTATTAAAATTAAATTCTTATTATATTAGCAATTACAATGTTTTAATTTTATTTAATTTGAGGAAAAAAGATTGATAATTTATTTTGATATTTGATTTATGTCAAAAAGAGACTCGTTTGTTTCTCTTTATTTTTTGTTGTTGATAACTAGTTTTTAATTGTTATATGGCTGCGTACTATACATAATAGAATGATGAAGTATTTACCTTGTCATCTGATTATTTAAACAACGAAGTAAAGTGGCGCCAAATTTGAATATTTAATTTTTTTTAATTTAGTCAGTAAATTTAATATTAGTAAATTACTTAAGTTTATCACTATCAGTTTTTTTATTAACAATGTTTATTAAATAAATATCAATGTGTTAAAATAAAAATATTTATGGTAATGATTTAGGTGAGAAATCAATTTTAATTTCTAAATGCAAAAGTAACTGCAACGCTATTGCCTATATAAAACAATATATGGTATTATAGAACAGTGTTTATAGATCGAGAGGTTGACTAGAGGTAGACAATTTTGAGTATTTGATCAGTGTGAAATTTTTTGTAAAATTTTCGGCAATGTTTAAAAACAAAATACCTGTCTAAAGTGCTGTGAGGTTGTATATATCCTGTAAGTTTAGCCATTAAATAATTGGAATTTTAATATTCTTTAATTTAGTATTTAATAATAGAATAGAATATAATTTTCATTATTTTAATTGGCATAATAATAAAAAACATCATCGAAAGAACCATCTAATCACAAATACTAGTAGTATAAAAGGCTTACATTGGTTAAAAGTGACAACCTTATAGTGGATTTAAAAACAAAGATGAATTAGTTACTTTGGTGTGGACAGAGGAAGTAACGACACTGAATGGAAATATACATCAAGAAAATACAATAAAAAATAAAATATATATAAATAACAAAACGGATACCTGTGATAATAGTTAAATCGAAATTAATGGAAAAACAGTTGGAAAGATAAAAACTTGACAAGTACCTAGAAAGCATAACATCAGATGACCTTGTCCATCAGCACTAGGTAAAATCAAAATACTGCTGCATGAAGGATTCCAAAAAATCAAAACAGTTGGGCAGACCGATACTGAAGTAATACGTCAGTACTGATGCACGCTCCTATTTCTTCAGTACATACTTATGAATAGATTATGTATGAATAGAAGATTGATTCTGTAAAGTTCGATATGTATAACCTAAGCTCAAAGATTTCCAAAATAGTAGAAATCAAAATAACAAATAATACTTATGTACCCATTCATTTTACCGTTATGGATCATCATCATCAATCAGCCAATCACGTCCACTGCTGGACATAGGCCTCCCTCAGTTCTTTCCAGTGTTCTCTACACTGGGCCGCTTGTAGCCAGTTTCCCGCTACACGTTTAATGTCATCGGTCCATTTAGTCGGTGGTCGTCCTCGGCTTCTTTTATAATTTCTTTGCCTCCATTCGTCTTAATATACGTCTTGTCCGATTTGTTGGTTTGTTATGTGGTCTCGAAGGCTCACGTTCAGTATTGCACGTTCCATGGCTCGTTGTGTAACTCTAAGTTTATTCGCAGATTTTTGCGTGAGTGTTAAAGTCTCTGCTCCATAAGTTTATACAGGTAAAACACATTGGTTATAAACCTTTCGCTTGAGACACATGGGAATTGAACTTTTTAGAATATGGCTTAATTTGCCAAATGCTGCCCATGTTAGACCTATTCGCCTCTGTATTTCATGTGTTTGATTGTCTCTGCTTATTTTGATTTCGTGTCCCAGATATTTGTAAGTGTCTGTTTGTTGTATGGTATTATTGTCAATAGTTATATTTCCACTCATTACGAGATTTGTTATAATTTTAGTTTTCTCAAAGTTTATATTTAATCCTGCTCTTTCAGACAGACTTTTAAGCGAATGCATCATAGAAACTGTATCTTGTAAGTTATCTGCGATTAATACAACATCATCTGCAAACCTTAGGTGATTTAATCTTTCTCTATCTATATTGATGCCCATATCTTGCCATTGAGTACCCTTAAATATTGACTCTAGAGCTGCCGTGAACAATTTTGGTGAAATATTGTCTCCTTGTCTAACTCCTCGACCTAAGCTGAATTTTTCTGTGTCTTCGTGCAGTCGTATACTTGATGTAGCGTTCTGATAGATGTTTTTGATTAGTGTCGTGTACCTGTAATCTATAACCGTTATGGATATATATTGTTTTTTTATTTAAAATACTGTTTGTCAAACTTCCTGTAATAATAAAAAAAATGTGTTTTTTTCAGACGTGTCAATCAGATCTTGTAAGAGATAATGGCCATAAATACTTTTTATCGGTATTACAAGATACATCAATATCGGTAAGTACAAATAAGTTTGAAATATTTTAATACGTTAAGATTCTATTTAAAAATTATTTATAATTTTTTAAGAATAACTATAGACTTTAAAAAAGAATTTGACTCAATAGAAAGAGAAATAGTATCGACGTGTCTCTCAGGTTTTAGAAGTATGTACATATATGCAACATTAATAAAATAATTAAAAAGACTAATGCGTTTTTGTACACGCTTACGACAAATGAAATAATTGAAAAGAAAAGTATTTTTGAAGTGTGTAAAAATTTTTTAAATTCTAACTGAGCACTTTCGTCTTACAAAGCCATCCTCAGAGCTATGGTCAAATTTATAAAGCACCACTACTAGAGAGGGATCCTATTGGTGAAAATACAGGGTGCGCCAAACCTTTGGGCTTTTTTTATTACGGCTAAACTATGAAGTATGTATATGAAAAATGTTTCAAACAGAGATGTTACATAACAAAGATGTCTTTAACCTAACATTTTTTCCGGTTATACAGGGTCAGTCAGAACAACGGAATGAACCATGAAGTTCTGTTTTTTAATAGAACAACTTGTATATTAAAGCATTTTCGAGTGTATTTTTTAATATATGACTAGTTTGGATGAGATTTTATAGGCCTTTAAATTAAGAATTATTACATGTGTAACCCCATTTAATAATAATGGCAATAATATATGAAAACCCTATTTACAATAATAAAAATAATATATCTTTCTTTATTTAAAATCCCTCCACCTTCTATAATTGGTTGACAATTCTCGTTTAGCAGTGATGATCAGATACAAATGAAAGTAGGATATGCTCCCTAAGGTAGCTTGTTTATAAATCTTCAATTAAAATAGGGAAGTATCTTGAAGAGATACTCCTTGTAAGGAAGTATCTCCCAAATAAATAATAAATATATCAATAAAATGTAAATTGCAAAGGAAATAAAAACCAAAGACATAAAATATTATGTGAAGTTAAGTATATAAGTTAATAAAAAATAATAAAAATTGAATTCAGGAAACCGATTTGTGCACACAACCGTTTACCGTCTAGGACCAATCTATCAAGTAACAATAGTAGTAATGTTAGTAATAAATATAAAACAATATGAATAATATGATGGCAAAACACCGGCGATGTTTTTGATGGGAGTCTCAAGGACTCCCGACTCGTGGGTGGAATTGTGAGGAAACTGCCAAAATGGTCCAGTACAATCCCCTTTATCGCTGGGTGATTAACTAAGGAGACAGATTTTCAACCGGTCTAGACGTCGGATTAAATCGTTAGGGGAGAAATTCTCAAACGAAAAGTTACAACCAATACTAACTTAAATAAAAATTCTTCCCGAAGTTTGATTCCCAAGTAAAATATATAGTGTGATTCCACTATCTGGGTTGACTGGCTAAAAAACAAACGTCTTATTTACTCTATTGTTCTTTCCTCGTCTGAAAAAGGTTTTTGTATAGTATGGAAATAGTAAAAAGAATGGACAAAAAGAGAAAAAGTGTCACAAAAAAACTGGTAGGGGAGCGCCGGGAGGGTTTGGACAATTTTTTAATAAACAATTATGGCGTGGACATGGATAACAAATATCTCATACTGATTGATGCGTGTCTCCTCACTATATATTTGCATAATTTGTGTACAAATATAACAATGTAAATGAAATATTCGCATATACATACTTGAAATTATGCGTCCAAACCCTCAGAACTGACCGGGAGGGTCTGGACAATAAACGAATAAATACAAAAATATTATTTAAGGTTTGTTTTTGCCATAATCTTTAGATACAAATGAAACAAACAAAATATTCATTATAAAATAGATCATGTCTTTACTCTTCACTTTGTTTTGTCAGAGGATTTGGTAAAATTATAATCACTTCTTCGTAATCTTCCTTTGTCGGCATAATGTCGAACCGATTTTTTACACCTTGCAAACCACGAAATGGTTAATTCGAAGTCTAGTAAGATCTTATCCTTATCTTCATCATTTTTCAAATATAAATCTGAGTCTTTGTAAATCATCTCTTCTTCATCGGAAGAAGACTCGCTCATTACTTTCCTCTTTACCATCTCTATTTTTTTTATTAATTTGTGGTGTCTCTTTTTTCAATTTCTTTTCTGCAATTGCATTGCGTTTCGGAAAATCGGTTGCTATTATAGTTGTTCTTTTTGCTCTTTTATAAGTAATCTTTCTTGTGCTCGCTCTGAACTAGAGAATTGGGCTGTGACGATGCAGAGAGGCTGAATTGCGATGACACCTCCACATTTTGATTTAAAAATTCACTTGATGAAGAAACAATGGGGTCTTTTGATGTTGAAGGAACCATTCTGTCTGTTACAAACGAGCATAGAAAGTCTTCTTCACCAAAATTATTTTTATCCAATGGTCAAATTCCACTGCAACGAAATCCAGATTTTATGTTGGAAAGAGTTGCAGATCGATACCAAGTTTCATACATATTGGTGCAAGGTCATAAATTGATAATGCCTTCCCTGTATGAGAGAGCATACAGTCATCTGCTCCTTGATTGATACACCTTTCAAATTGTCCAAAAACAGTCCTATCTAATGGTTGCAATTTGTTAGATGTGTGGAGCGGAAAAGTTCAAATTGTAATTCCATTATCTTTGAAGTAAGCAATAGCAGAAAAATATTAATGGATTCTTCAATGGAACTTAAAGATCCTTCAAACATTTTGGATATTAACTCAACCCTATCTTTGGTTATTTAATCTATTAGATACGGTTTTTTGTTAATGATAAAAATAATACTTATCTAAAAATTTTATACATTTTTAAATGTTATTTTTTATTTAGATTTAGTGCAATTCCGTTATCTGTGATGGCAACAACGAATTGATTCACGAACCATTGTGTCTAGTCTAAACACAGGTTTACATTGGGAAAAAAGTGTACCAGTTTTATATGACGGGAAGTGTACATATTAGAACATTCTTAAGGTACAACGCAAGGGAAATTTCCATTTCATTAGAAACCAATTGGCATGTGTGACAAAATGGGAAGAGAATGTCGACTTGTCAATTCCTACTTCTCTTGCTTTCTTTACATATAAAGCTAGTGTGATTTTTTAACTTCATGCAGTTGAGCGCTTTTCCAGATACAACATCAGCTGTTGCACTTCGCATGGCTTTTTCGGGAAATCATACTTCGTTTAGTCGCTTATATTTATACGGCATGTTTTTTGTAACAATTTTATAAATTAAAGAGGATTTGGACACTTGTGGGAGGGTTTGGATATGTGTACAGGTGTCCATACCCTCCCTCAATACAGTTGAGATAAATAAATACAAAAATTATTAAAGCATCTTTATATATCGTAAAAATAACAACAAACTTTCATTATTTAGGCTTACCTAATAGTAATACTCAATCAGTATCCTAAAACAAACAAAACCAGCTAATTAAGAAAAACAGTCTCAAACTACTAAATATTAGAACAATAGCATGGAAAATTTCAAAAATAACCGAACATCAAAACGAAGTAACCTGACGGTTTGGCGTCTAGACCGGTACTAAGAATACAGAAATAGAAATGCACTTCAAGTTATATTTGCTGTTAAGCTTGTTGTCTTGTGGAATGGGAGTGTCCAATGCTCCCGCTGTCCAAACCCTCCCGGCTCTACCCAACTATAATGTTTCACGTTAACCTTGGAAAAATTACTCATATTTTAAATAGTCGTGGAAGCTGAACATTAATTAAATTTACTTTTAAGTAGGAAAATTATGAGTTAGATTAAACAATTGTACAAGGGACAAAATTTATAAAATGAAAAAAAAAGGAATTAAGTTTACAAATTTGCCAAATGGCGTGACTTACTGAATTTACTTAAAAAATAAACATGTATTCTTCTCCCTAAATTGGCTTCTTTAATTTCTTTAATAAAGGATCTTCTCACTATATCTCGATAACACCATACATTTCAATAGAACTAAATCTTGACCCTTTAATTTTCTAATTTCGCCGACACAACCAAATTTAGGTCTTTATTCTAACGTAGCTGAAACTGGAATGCTTTACAGCACGAGGAACAATTGTAAGGCTAAATATTACATAGCTGTCAAATTTCAACTAAATATTGGTTTCCGATACAATATTAGAAATTCTTATCTATAGATGAACACGCATGGTGTTGTGAATTGCCTACCAAAAAGGGGAAAAGAAACAAATTTATATCCTATTTAATTAAACAAATGATTAAGAAAAGACAATAAGTAACGTCGCACTGCGACAGTAATACAATTTCAAAAAAATTGAATAAATATGGCATCTATGTCATTATTCATGTTTAACACAATCAGTTGTTTTTTCAGTAAATATAGTTCAATAAAGTATTGTTTTTTGCCTGAATGTATAGAGAATTCGATAGCTTAACATGCCGTTTTTAAAGTCTAGTTTATATAACTATATTTTCACTACAGAAATGTGATCAATTTTGCTTTTTTAGCTTAGATTTATTTGTTTAAAAAAATGTATTTCTGTGTACAGGCTGAATATAGGACGCAAGCCACATTTGTATTAGCATGTATAGTGAACAACTTCCATGATGGTCAAGAAGCAGCTCTACAAGGATCGTTAGTTAGTGTCTGTTTAGAACAACTTAATGATCCTTCACCTCAGTTACGACAATGGGTGGCTATTTGTTTAGGACGATTATGGGATCATTACGAAAAGGCTAGATGGACTGGTGTCAGAGATATAGCTCACGAAAAGTTGTACAATCTGTTAAAAGATTCAGTACCTGAGGTGAGTACTTTAATTTATGTTTTTTTATATAAACTCTACATGTATATTAAATTAAACTTATACTCCAGTCATCAGAGACGAAAATGTCACTGAACCTCTAAAAACCATACGAACAAGCTGAATTTGCCTGAGAATGTCAATTTTAGGTCGCCAAAAAAGATGCAAAAAAGTTTACCACTTTTATCCGTGAACTTTCTCCTAAAACCCCTCTTGTTGAGGGGGGAAAACCGAAAAAAGTTGATTTACCCAGAATCTGTACGCCATAGAAAAAATATTTCAAATAAAAAATGTAGCTAAGATAACTTTAAACAAAAATGTTTATTAGCATTTTTTGAACGGAATAAACTGTTCTCTCAGAAACAACGTTTGAAGCAATCGGCAATTTTTAATGTCAGTTACGCGTGCTAAATTAATGTTCAATAAACTTTGTATCAGCTCGATTTTAAAAATTCGATATTTTTTGATCCGAGTGTGCTATCGACAAAAATCAATATGCGTATTAATCGTAAAGAGTGCAGCTTTGTAAGCAATTTCTGAATTTTTGCCAATTTTTATGATTTTCATGAGATCAATACAATTTATACCTTTTATTAACCGAACACTGTGGAGTTTCGATAACCTAACCTAATCTTTAAATCATATAAAATGAACTTTTAGTTTTAAGTTTTATCAACAAATGTGATGCATTTGAAATATGCATAAAAACGCTGAATTTAAACTTTCACATAACAAACGATCTAAATTATTTAAAACTGTTCTTTTTCAATTATGCAAGTACGTTTTTTAACAATTGTGCTACGAAATACACTCAAAACCAGCTCATTTGAGGTATTTCACATGACGTGCCATTGTTTGTAATGTAAAAGTTTAAATTCTGCGTTTTTTAGTTCAAATGACCCATAGGTTTTGAAGACTGCTATCTAAATAAAAATTGAAATTTCACTATGACCGGTCAATTCAAGTGATCAATTATATTGATCTCACGTAAACTGTAAAAATGGCAAAAATCGTGCAACGTTTATTTATTGACCAGATTTATAGAAACTTACCTTATTTGCGGCAAAATACAAAAATTACACAAGAAAGATACACTCTTCTCCTTTAAAACGCATTTTGATTTTTGTCGCTGGACACTCTGATCAAAAGATATGGAATTTTTACCGTCCACTTGATACACATTTTATTAACATTGATTTCGCGTGCCCAACTGACATTCAAAACTGGTCAATGTTCGTTTCAAGCGATATTTCTGAGAGAACCGTTCATTCTACGGACATTTTTTTCTACGGCGTAGGGGAGAGGCTGGAACAGTGGCCAGTCAGGTACAGTGGCTACTTCTAAATACTTTGTTGTTGTTTGATAGATACAGACGCGCTATCTAGTACAAAGGCTAACAATTTTAGTCAAAGTAGTCGCTTACTAGGCTTGACCCCTGCACCATCGTTTCCAGAACCATTTTGTATACGAACCTGTTGAAGAAGTGTGTTGTGTAGAGGTAGCAGGTAAGTTTAAACATCTTTTCAACCAATAATAATATACATATTAAATGTTCTGTATGTTTTATGGTATACAGTATAGTATTTAAAACTTGCTGGTGATGCAAATTTGATCTATCTTCAAAGTAGTAGATTTTAGGTTATGCCTCCTAAACAATGAGCTTTTGGTACAGTGGTCGCACACTTATGCAGGAACAGTGGCCACTGCTTGTGACAAAAAAAAGTGGTGGCCACTGTTACTACATACATTTATAAAAGCAGTGGTCATTGTTCTTTCTGCAAAAAATATCAAAAATAATTTTGTTTCAGATAGTAATATGCCACGGAAAATACCAAAAAATCCCGGTATTGGAAAAACTACAGATAAAAATACGAGAAAAGCGATTTATGATGTTTGGGAAGGTGGATTATCACAAAAGGCTGCTGTTTTAAAATACGACATTCCACGCACTACACTTAAGAGATATTTTAAAAAGTGCAACGAAAATAAAAATAATATAGATTGGACTTCAGATTTTCTTAAGCGAGATCCAAGAATGACCTCAAATTATGATATCAATCAATTTTTTTCTTCAACCGAGGAAAAAGAACTGAGTAATTATTTACAGACGATGACCAACCTCATCATTGACTCAATCCGAAAGGTGCCAGACAACTAGCTTATGATTTGGAAATTGCCAAATCCCAAGAAAAAAAAATACCAACTTCATGGGAAGAAAACAAGATGGCAGGCAAATTTTGGTTTACAAGTTTTATGAAACGAAATTCGGAATTATCATTACGATTAGCAGAAGCAACTTCACTAGGTAGGGCAATTGAGTTTAATCGACCAGTCGTTGCAAATTTTTTTAGTAATCTTAAGATTTATGAAAAATATGCATTAACACCTAGTCAGGTATACAATGTTGACTAAACAGCACTAACAACTGTACAAGATACAGGAAAAGTGATAGCCAAAAAGGGATAGAAACAAGTAGGTCATATAGTTTCAAATGAAAGAGGCACTTTGATAACCATGTGCAATGCAATAAACGCTATTGGACCGTGCAAGTTCGGAACATCGACACCTGGTGTCGTAAATCAGCAAAATTTACTGTGCTTTTCATGTTAGATCGAGTTTACCGGATAACTGTCAAGGACGTAGCCCCAAAAAAGAATAAGAAGAAAAAGTAAGATTGAGCGATTGAGGTTATGTCGGTATGTAAAGTCAATGACGTATAATATATAGACTCGGTGAACGCTTTAAAAAGTGTCCAAAACATGAATACCTTTGTTATTGTTTTATTGTTTTGATACGAAGATACACGAAGTTCATGATTTCTTACGAAGCATCACGAAGTTGATCTTGTGTTTGAAAACATCATGGACGTATGAAAGCATTTTCTCCATTTTGTGTGACAAGCAAATTTTATTTTAAATTGTTGAGAGTTATTTACTTACTATTTTAGTAAAATGCCATACTATTTTATCAAAATAATTATTTCTCTTATAGATGGGACAAAAAGAAATCATAAATATTTAATTTTAATTAAAAAAATAATTATTGTCATTAAAATATAAATGAAACACGCCGCTGTTCTAATAAACATACCTTCAACCTTGAGCCGAGATCTTTCGGACACTCGATTCTATAGCGAGAATAGGGGACTGCGTAGTCTATATATTATACGTCATTGTGTAAAGTAATTTTATGGCGGTATGTAAAAGGTAAACGTTGTATGTAGTGTAAATACAAATAAATATATCGATACATTTTTGGCAAAGTAACGTAAGTGACATTTTTGGCGAAAATCATGTTTTTCAATTAAACTGACACTATTATTGTTAAAAAGGTACTGCCAAAGTGTAGTAAGCCTAGAATTAATTTAAACCTTTTTTAGGACAAGTAGGACAAGTTTTTTTAGTCATAATTTAAATAGGTTTAACCAGGTTTAATTAAAAAATTGTTTTTTCTACAAATAGTTTTTGGTGACTTACGTTACTTTGCCAAAAATGTATCGATATTATTAAATTACAGCATTACTGTTAATATCGATACCTTTTTGCCATAACATCGTAAGTCTCGTTTAGTAAATTTTACAGTACGGCAGTTTTTTCAATAAACGTGTTTAGAAATGTCCAATTGAAGTGAAAATTGGCATCCGGACGTATTATGATGAGTGTTTGAAGTAAAGTAATGATTTTTCTTCAAAATAGTTTCAGTTTTTTTGTAGTTGGACTTACGTTACTTTGGAAGCATCAAAAATAATTTTGCTACTGTAGTTTTATACAAGTCCAACACTTACGATAATTTTGGTAAATTCAGAAATAATTTCACATTGTGATTGTTATCGTAAGCTCAGCACTTACGATAAAAAGTATGTTTAGACACAGCCCCTTAAAGTAACATAAATAATACATAAAAAAATACCAAAAATCGTTTATTTAAGGTAATTTATTTGTGAAAAGTAAAAAGTACAATAGGCATTTAACTGAACAACAAATCGCTTTAGTCATAAACTTACAAAAATAGTCATAATATCTAATGTTATTGCATGTGGTATAATAAATGTGAATCATAGCTAGTCAGCAAAAGTCTAATCTTGGGGCCCTTCATCGCTTTCGTCTTCCTCATCGGATTCTGCTAGCTTATCTGGCATAGCTGACGTTTTCATTAGCCTATATTCATTTTGAAACCTGAGAGGAATTATATTGTTGTCGCAGAGATCAATTAAGTCTTTTTTCTTTGCAACGGAAATAGACAATTTTTGAGAATAAAGCCGTTTTGGTTTTTTTCCTTTTAATTCCATCGTGAAATTGATGCAGTTCTGGCCATTATTTAAATAGTCAACCTCTATAATAATATCTGCGTTACCTTTCTCAAATTTTACATTTTTAATTTCACTGATTTTTATAGGTTTTCCGTTCTTACATTTGAATTTACTCGGTTTTAGTACATCATCAGATATTTTTTTCCATTCTAAGAAGTCGCTGAAATCCATTTTTATTGTTTCAAATGGTTTAGGTTTGGTACGAGAGTTGGATATCAATGTACACCATTCTGATGGAGCCCATACTACGCGTTTTTTGATAAACCGCTCAATTGTTGCATGAACTGAGTCGACAGGCATATAAGTATGGCCTGGTAGTAAGTATCGCACACTGATTGATGTTATATTAACAGAATCCTTAAGAAAACTCGAGATCATTACAAACATTGCCTTGTTTTTGTTCTGTCCATAACAACTATCACAATTTAGTGATATATGTTTTACGGTTTGTCTTCTATCAACTTCTTGCAAATATTTGTAGATTATGGTAGATATTTCGTTACTGCCACGTCCTCCGTCACATTCTCCCCACAAATAACAAAACCCATTTTGGGTTCCACTTTCGTAAACCGTAAGATTGTAATAAGCATACTTTCTGGTGTAGTACAAGAGCAAATTGTCTCCATGTGGTGTGTTTAACACCTTCTGCAGGTCGAAACTAGCACATAAAAATTTTGAATCTAAGATAGTTTTC